CCCCCCCCCTCTAAATCCGCCACTGCATTCGATACCGCTTAAAATGTGAGTTTATACGTGGTAGTGTTGAAATACAGCAGCCCAAACCGATCGTCTCTGTTTTTTATTAGTTATTATTATTATTATTATTATTATTATTATTAATGATACGTAATACAAACAGACTACCCAAATGAAGTTTCGAATGCTTTATTGCTGATAGAAAGTTGCGTGGCACAGAATAAGTTTTTAAAAATAACTATTTTAAATTGCACTAGTCTAAACAGAAGAATGTAGAGTAGAAGCATGGTGTGAGAGCGGTTTTTAAACACAGGTCAGGTGGTCGATGTCGTCATATCCGGCGGTGCACGCGGCAGGGTGTTGGTCACGTAATGAATCAATGACTGGAATTAAAAGGAAACGTTGTATGAGTGATCATGAAAGCAACTTCTTCTTCTCAACCACAAACATTGGCTCTAGTATGGCACTAGCATAGCAAACATTACTTTTGCAGCAAGAAACGTAATAAGAGAAGGAAAAATTCATTCTTAGAAGCTTAAGAGTACTAATAAATGTATGTCAGAAATGAGATTATACGATTAAAAATAATAATAATAACGATACGTATCGTTCTGGTCTGAACCCTTGTATTAACATGTATGATCTTAAAGCTACCTTATTATCACTTCTTCATATTTTGACTGTTTACCGACTGAATAGAAAAAATATGAAGATATAGAGATTCTATTATACACACTTAAAACAAACCGCGATACATCTGTTACATACTCCAAACTTATCTGAGTATTGTAATTTTACCTGGTGTATCCGTTTCCTCCACTTGGGCCATATCCAGATTGTTTATAGCTGTTGTATCCGGATCCGCGATATCCGTCGCGGGCACCATATCCGTTCCTTTGATAATTATTGTAGCTGCGGGCGCCATATCCGTTCCCATAATTATTATAGCTGCGGGCGCCATATCCGTTCCCATGAGAATTATAGCTGCGGGTGCCATATCCGTCTGGTTGATAATTGTAGCTGCGGGCGTCATATCCGTCTGGTTGATAATTATAGCTGCGGGAGCCATATCCGTCTGGTTGATAATTGTAGCTGCGGGCGCCATATCCATTCCCATATCCACCATCTTGATAGCTATTGTTTATTATTCAAGAGAAAAAATGTTTAATTTTTATTGAGGGCATAATGAGAAACTGAACAAGACTATTTATAGGAGAAGGAGACCCCCATTTTCCAATTATTTCAGTTGGTATTGATTTTGCTTTTAGACTTATTGTAAAAACCAGAGCTTATTGTTCTTAAAGAATGAACCACCACTGTCGCACAGGTTTTGTGCTCAGTTCTGTTACTCAAATTAAGCGTCAACAAAAACTAGCTTACATTACATGTTAGCATGTAGGTTTCTGAAGAAATCAGCAGACTAGAGCAGAAAAAGGACTACATGTTACTATCTGGCATACTGTATAAATGTGAAGTCAAAAGCTTATCGTTAATCTGTTGATTAAATAATCCGTTGTGCTAAATCATAGCGAAATATTTCTCCGCGCCACGGCTGCACATGTACAAGGGCAAGTCACCATTTTACGGCACACATTACGTCATTTTAAAAGCTGCATGCATAGGTATATTGAAAGAAAAAAGATTACCGATTCGATTTTCCTCACACTTGATTTTCAAGGGCCTATTGCAATATACATATACATGTACAAGACCTTTAACCACTTTACTCTCTCTTCTTTCTCTCTCTCGATCCCCATCTCTCTCTCTCTCTCTCACTCTCTCTGCCCCAACCCACATCTCTCTCTCTCTCTCTCTCTCTCTCTCTCTCTCTCTCTGCCCCAACCCACATCTCTCTCTCTCTCTCTCTCTCTCTCTCTCTCTCCCCCAACCCCCCTCTCTCTCTCTCTCTCTCTCTCTCTCTCTCTCTCTCTCTCTCTCTATATCTCTCTCTCTCTCTCTCTTAAGTAGAAGACGAGACATAAGGGAGACATCTACATAATAGACACAACTTGCTAATTCCATACCTCAAATGTGTATGAAAAGATAAGTTTATNACCCACATCTCTCTCTCTCTCTCTCTGCCCCAACCCACATCTCTCTCTCTCACTTTATTTCTCTTTCTCTCTCTCTCTCTCTCTCTCTGCCCCAACCCACATCTCTCTCTCTCTCTCTCTCTCTCTCTCTGCCCCAACCCACATCTCTCTCTCACTTTATTTCTCTTTCTCTCCACATCTCACCTGGCAGCCACAAGAGTAACAAGTAGAATCAGCTTCATCATCTTGGCGGGAAAGTAGTTGTCGTCTGTGTACTGACGGAACGAAGTGACTCGAATCTTGACTGGAAACAAAGTCGATCCAAACTAGATGGAGACCGGTGTTTTATACAGTTCTGAGACACAAAAGGAATACGTAATGATAGTATTTATATCCCCTTGAGATATCTGTTTTGAATATCGGGTTCATTAATTTGAAACGTGACGCATTATGAATGCATTATTATTTTCGTAGTTCAATATGACAATTATTATTCAAATAAGAAAATATTCGTAAAATAGAAAAAATGTCCTTTACCGCATGCTTCATAATATACACTGCGATACAATGCGTTTCTCTGTATTAACATAGATCAACATCATTGCATTCTCCCCCATTCCTTAGGTACCTCAATTAGTGGCGTATCTACGGTAAACAAGGTCCTTAGCTACAAAAAATACTGTTTAGGACGAGGGAGCATTAGGCCTTAAATTGTCATTAAACCCACCCAGTGGCACTAACTCCCTACTGGAACGTTCTTTCCAAGAAAGGCCATTTTGAACACCGTCCGTATAATGGATAATAAATAAATTTCTCTGGTGGGGACCCTGCGGAGGCGCTAAGAGCGCGTGCCATAAATTAGAAAGGTGTGTGACATATCAGTCTATTATAATTTGTAACTGCTGCTAAGTTTGGGTCGTCTTTTCACCCGTCAATACAAAAAGTTACCAGTTATGAATTACACATTAGTATCTCACCCCAAAGGAACATCATCGCACTTACATTGCCAATCTGTGAACCACAATAAAATATCTAATGAAGTCATTAACCAATAGACACTGAAAGCTGGTTGTGTCCCGACTTTATTTATTTGTTAGTAATTGGCCATCTCAGAAGACCACGTACTTTCTAAATTCAACGTTCTACCTATTACAGAATTTTAGAAAAAAAAAAAAAAAAAAAAAAAANACATTGCCAATCTGTGAACCACAATAAAATATCTAATGAAGTCATTAACCAATAGACATGCACTGAAAGCTGGTTGTGTCCCGACTTTATTTATTTGTTAGTAAGTGGCCATCTCAGAAGACCACGTACTTTCTAAATTCAACGTTCTACCTATTACAGAATTTTAAAAAAAAAAAAAAAAAAAAAAAAAAGAACGCAAGCATCAGTCTAAACACTAAAATAATGGCTGTCACCTGGATCTGGCGAGTGAGCCAGAAAACATATTATACTGGTAGAACTACAAAGACTATCGCTATATATCTGGTTATATTTCAGAATAAAATATTTTATCGCAGTAAAAATTCATTCGCTTTTGTTTTCTCTAAAAACCAAGCGCGTCTGTACATTTTTGAATTCCAAAGGTCTCTGGTCTCTGGTTAATACAAGAAGAGAGAATATATATTTATGGTACAATTTAAAGATGTGATTATTTTTATCAAAGTCTTGAAGTTGTTGAGCATTAATATTACATGAAGACAGAAGACGCGAGTTCTGTAGATTTCGAATATAAGAAAAACAGAAAATGGTGGTAAATAAGTGTTTAAATTATAACGGTTTGTTTACACAAGTTTCGTTAAAAAAAATGGCCGCCATCTTGAACAAGCTTATAGTGTTTCCCTTCGCAATGTACTCAAACACATTTGTTTAATGTACATGTATTTCTAAGGCAACAGTTATATTGTGCTCTTCGTTGCTACGTGAGGACCTATCAAATAACAAGAAAATTAACTTTAAAGTGCACTCGGTAGATTCAAGAGAAATTGAAACTGAGAAAAAAAACGTGAGGACCTATCAAATAACATGAAAATTAACTTAAAAATGCACTCGGTAGATTCGGGAGAAATTGAAACTGAGAAAAAATACAAAATGCTATCACTTTTTTATCTTCAGGTTTTGTGCAAAAAGTGGATGGAGCAGAAAGTCTTTGCCTATACAGAGAAGTTGAGCGGAAATTTTCATCTCGGTTTGTTGCCACTGATTACAGTTTTATTTGCACAGGGTAGAAAGCACCACACAATCTGACTCGCCCGTATAATTCCAACGCAGGATATTTTGAAAATTTGTCTAATAATTAGAAGAAGAATACATTCCACGAACAATGAATTATATTGTTAGATTTAAAAAATCGAAAAAGAAAAAAATACGTTATTATTCAGCTCTGCGCCTTTGTGATATAATGTTGGCAAAATAACCCTGACTATTCAACTTTAGGGCATGTACAACTATAACAACATGTACGACAGTATTTTACGAGCATCAGATACGATAGTAATTGCCTTAAGTAGGTCGTAAAGATTTTTATTGCAATAAGCACACGAGCCAAGGATTGGAAATCGCCGGACCTGACTTAATCCTTTGACTTCATAATGTGCTTGTCTGCTTTAAGGAGAACGTAATCTCTCTCTCTCTCTCTCTCTCTCTCTCTCTCTCTCTCTCTCTCTTTTGCACACACACACACACACACACACACACACACACTGACAGAATAAATTTTACACAGTATGAGAATTTTGTGAATGAATTTTTCACACAAATTAAGATGACAGAGCTTGGAATTTCCGAAATCATCCGATGAACAAGATTATTCATAAAAAAACAGCTAATCATCAAAGACAAATAAACGCCTCTTCCCGCAAGATAAACCCACATTTACGCTAACAAATAGGTACGAACTTGCTGCCCTTTTCATTAATAGATTCAAAACGCCTTTGGTGCTTAATAGCTTGATAAGCCTTCAGTCTATTGGATGTCCTCTGTTGTCTTCAAAGGTGATAAAGTGATATAATCCTCTACGTATTTAATGGCCTTTTGATTCGACAAAATATTGGACACATGCAGTCATTTACTGTAGACATAAGGTAAAACGAGTGCAGGTAACCATTGGCAGAGTGCCCATGGTCAAAATTTTAAAAATAATTAGCTATTATAAAGTTTATGCATATATTTGTTGTGTGAATAAATATTATTTGGTTTGAGGCATCGTTACTTAGTATTTTTAATGAGTTATATGTGTGTGTGTGTGGGGGGGGTGGTGGTGCCAGATTTACCTGTTGTATGCAGTCTAATGAATCAGAGCAAATGTTTTAGCATATATATTACATAAACGATCTTTTCTATTGAAACGTGTCTTGTGGTGTAAAAAGGAGTTATATGTTAAATACTTGTGGTGTGGCACAAATAAATGGAAAAGAAATTGTATTTTTTTAATCCAAGAGAAGAGAGGGAGGGGTGGTGTATTACGGTATTTTCTCACAGAAATCATCACTGATGTCACTCTACTATACAAAAGTCTCGTAACTAGGACAACTAGTTTCAGCATATTTATTCATTTTATGTAACTTTTCTCCTAGACTGACATTTGTTTGTCTAAATTTTTGTATTGGTGCCCAATATACATTTAAAAGGCTCTGTGAAGAATAATAAAAATGTTGAAACCAAAAAGCTGTTACTGTAACAAAAATATGTATCATTTGTAAAAGCACTCGAAATAGCTATTTGGAATGTTTCCAATAACCGTAAAATAATCAAGGTATATATTGTCCCAAAATAATGATAAGGTAAAAGTAAAAACTGAATGAAAATAAAGTATACATAGTAACATTTATGGCCAATAATCTGTATGACAAAATTAATTCATCAAAAAAATGTACTTCATGTGATAATATGTGTGATAGGGACTTTGTATAGAACGCACTGCAATAGTTACATTATACAAAATATACAAATATGAAAATAAAAAAAAATATATATATATATATATATATATATATATATATATATATATATATATATATATATATATAAGAAACCATAGATAATTAGTCAGATGTGCTGTCCAAAACCTTTTCGATCTCGCTAATACTGTCATCACTTGACGCTGGTTAACATGAGGCATCCAAACAGCCTACTCCACAACACAATTTTCGACTGTATCCCTGCCTCATGGCAAACCCAACATACCAAAGGACTGAAGTGATATGTGCCCAACTTCCAACTGTCCAAGCACCTACTTTACACTGACAGTACCGGCCACTAAAGAATCTAATTTTGCTACAGGAGGTCTGAATCCATAAGCTGTACCGGTGGCTAGATGCGTGCCTTGGCTGTATTTATTTGGCTCTGATTAAATCAGGTGAATCCTTGCATACATTGATTTCAAACTGGCCATCTAGCAGATGCTCATCAGTAAAGTTCTTTATCTGGTAAATGTCTGGCAATTAATTATAGGCTGGTGGTCTCTTGTTTGGACTATTTACCAAGTCAATAGGTTTTCACTGATCACTTGACAACAGAAGCCATTCATAGCATTTTTGGCAAAAAAAAACTACAGTGCTATTACAAAGAGTGCTGGCGTGGAAGGCTAAGTCATAAGTAACATAGCTAGGGTGTGTGTGATGAAGCCTTTCATTTGACTTTTTATGCAATATAAATGCAAAAGAGGGTATTTACAAAACAACTTTTGTTGTACAAAATGTAGTTTCATACCGATTAGGAGTGGGGTGGGTCAAGCCCACTCTATGTGTAGAAGGTCTCTATAGAATCCCGCACGAAAACGCAGTAGATACCCGCACGAAAATGCAGTAGTATCGAAGTAGCAAAGAAGCATTAACGCAGTAGTGGTGTGGAGCATATTTGCAGTAGAAATGCAGCATACCCTACTGCAATTCTACTTCAAAAATTACATAGGGTTGTACAGAGGAGGAGCATTAATGCAGTAGAATAGCAGCATGATAGAAGCATGTTTCAAATATGCTAATTAGCTCCCAATGCGAAGCAGATTTGAGGCATATTTGCAGTATGATTCCAGTAGTCTACTGCGCTGGAGCATCTACTGCGTTTTCGTGCGGGTAAAACTAGAATGTAAACAGTATGTTTAGTGCGTCAATCGCTTCAAAACATTTAATTGTTTTGAGATTTTAGCTTTTAGCTTTTCCAGTATGTTTTTAGCGTAAATATGTTGTGTATTGAGCATATACATTTAGTTTTGCCACCGACGCTGCACTATAACCTGTACTTCCATTAATTTGTCATTATTCGTTTGTTGTTGGTTGTATGATAAGAACTTGACATTTGAAATTAAAATTAGTCGTTTACTAGGT